TACCTCCGAGACCGCCTTCTGCCGCAGATTCCTTCCCACAGACCGGTACGCTCCCACAGAGTGGGTCTCCTCAGGGTGCCGTCGGCCAAGCAGTGCCGGCTGGCGACCCCCAGGGGGAGGGCCTTCTCTGTGGGTGCCCCCACCCTCTGGAACGAACTACCCCCCGAGATTCGGATAATTCCGGATCTTCTTACCTTCCGTCGCGCCCTCAAGACATGGCTCTTTCAGCAAGCGGACCTGACCTAGGGTGGATTTTATATTGGGTTTTTTAGGAATTTGAAAGACGCAACTGTAAATTTGGTTTAATTCGGTTTTAAGGGGGGGATTGTATATATGTTTTGGTTTTAAGTATGTTGTGCGCCGCCCTGAGTCCCGTCGGGAGAAGGGCGGCATATAAATTAAATAAATAAATAAATAAATAAATATACTCCTTTCATCTTTGATCTCTTTGAAATCAATCAATATCTGTCCATTGGTGTTCTTTACCATACCAATTTGTGGTTGGAACATCCTCCTGAGTTCAGATATCTTTTGAAAGATTTTACTTAGGTGTTTCCATCTTCAATGTCTTTACAGATGTTGTTGCAATACTGTTTTTGTCTTCTAATAGCTCTCTGAAACTCTTCATTAAATTCCTTTCTGAAATTTCTATCTTTCTTGGCTTTGACTTCTCTTTTCTTCTCTTCTCAGCAATTTCCATGGTTAGTTCTGACATCTACTTTGTTTTCCTTTCTTTCTTTATTTTGGGCAGTCTCTTTTCACATTCATCCTTAACTTTTTTGTTCATTCCACAGTTCTTTATCAAAGAGTTACAGATTTCAGAGTGATTCCTGATGTACTCTTTGAAAATGGTGGATATATTCCCAAGTTCATATCATGGAAACTGGTCAGCTTTCTTCTTTACGTTAACTTGGAACTTGTACAAGAGCAGATTTGTTCCACACTCAGCACCTAGTCATGTCTTTGATACTGTAATTGAGCTCTTCCTTTTAGCAATAATATAGTCAGTTTGATTTCTATGCACTCCTTCTAGTGACATTCATGTAAAAAGACATCATTTTAGTTGCTTAAAGACAATGAAGACAAGTTATGAAGAAATCCTGGGTCCGTTTTTTTTCCTTTCTTGAAGATGGGAACCACATCAGCCCTTTTCCAATCCTCAGATATTCTCCAATGCGCCAGGATTTTTGAAAGATGTGGTGCAATGGTTCTGAGATAACATCTGCCAGCTCCTTGAGAACTCTGGGATGTAATCTGTCAGGCCCCGGTGATTTATATTCGTCAAGGTCAGATAGGTATTCTTTTACCATTTTCTTGCTTATTTTAATTTTTGTTTCTAATTTGTCTTTTGCAGTGGTTTTTGGGGTACGTTGGGCTATAGTTTCTTTGATGCAAAGTATGAGTTAAGCAGCTGTGCTTTCTCCCTGTTGCCTGTTATTTCCTTGCTATCTTCTCTCTTTAGTGGACCTACAGTTTCCTTGACTTTTTTCTTGTTGTTAACATGTTGGAAGAAACTTTTTTTATTATCCATGATTTCTGTTGCAAGTCTTTATTTGTTCTGAGCCTTTGCTTTCCTGACTTCATCTTTGCATGTTCTGGCTGTCTGCTGATAATCGGCATAATAGTTAAATAAATAAATAAAACTCATCAACCTCCTTCTGCATCAGCGGTTGTAGCATAGTTGAATGTTTATCATACTAAAAGCTTGTTATTTTGAAAAGATTGATTTTAAAGGGCACACTATCCCTATTTCAATGATGCTATTGGTATCCAATGCTTAGTTTTGGATGCAGAATGTAATAAACATTGTTGCAGTTTCATTTCTGTATATATTTGAGCAGCACGGTGGCCTATTGGTGAAGATGCTCACCCACTAGAAAGGTTGAGAGTTAAATCTTAGATCGTGGCAAATATTTCCCTTCTAGGATGCAAAGAAAAAAACATCTGCTGCAAATTCCACATGGTGCCAGAAAGGACATCTGGCCAATAAACACTCAGCTCCATCCAGTCGCCCTGACTCTAACCTGAATTAAGGGATAGAGAGTTGTAAAAAGGGAGTTTTAAGTGGACCTTGCCATAGTGTGGGAATAACACTAGGAAGGAGAAAAATATATGAAACCACAACAATGTTTAATACATTGTTGAAATGTATTTATTATATAAATGTATTACATTTTGAAATTTGACACAAATAAGGAATTTGGATAGAACTTGACTTCATCATTGTACCTTACAGAGAGATACATAGATAAAAATTATCTTATAAATTTGTACACATCCTGAGTATTTTCCAAATAGCCACACTGATGCGTTGATTTGCTCCCATTTCTCATCCTTGCTATTTCCAAAAATCTGGGTCTCCCAAACTATTAATAACATAAAATTTAGTTTCCTACAGCTTGGGTCCCACTGAATTTAATGAACTTTCCTCTCTAGAAGTCTGGTGAGGACTCCAACCTTAATATTTTCATATTTTGATGCTCTTCCCTCCCAACCTCCTTCTTTTCTCTGCCTTAGGCCAACTTAATGCTACAAATAGGATGCACACTTCCTGGATCAAACAGGTTTCCTTATTAAAAAATCTCAAAAGACAGGAAGCACTGTATCTGATTTTTAATAGAGAAATATACCCACTAACTCAGACATGTCAAACTTGCGACGTCACGTGACATTGCACAACGTATCGGGACGGTTTTGCCATTGCCGGCAATGCGGTGGGCGTGGCTTCCACGTGATGCATCCGGCCCATGGGCCGGCAGTTTGACACCCCTGCTCGGACTAACTCATACAAATCAATGTGGAAAAAAATGCAATAGGATAAAATTAATTCTATTTTGGCACAAACCTTTATGCATTTACCTTAGAATAATAACCAATGATGGATCTAGATTCATTCATGCATAGAATAAAACCATTGGAATCAATAATCATTAGTCATGAGTAACATGAGTTCCATTAATGGGAGCTACTTCTGATAAATTATACCAAGATTTGTGCATTTGTTTCGCGTCTAATGAAATAAAACAAGGAGTGCAGTGTTTACACATATGCTGTTCTCTTTGTGATGACTTAGTTCTTCACATTCTGATACAGTGAACAATTTTGTTGCTGGGTCATTTTGTAATTTGTTCCTTGATGAGCCAAGTACCATGTATGATAAATGCTGCTGCTATATACCAACAAATTTAATATGAGAATCCTGAATGTCAGAATTATATCTGCACAACACGAAGTGTAAACTTTTTTTCAGCAGCTCCTGGAAAATAAAGCCCCATAATTACAGCTTTATTGACCTGCACTTTCTGCTGAATTCCAGTTCTCAACGTTATTTACAGATAGATGCAGACTGCACTGGGCAGCATTATCTCAAATAGTTTGCCTCGAGCAGCAAATCTATACCCCCACCTCCAGCAGTTACATCCAGTGTGGCCAATGGTGAGGGTCACTGGCTATTGTATGTTAGACTTAATAAGGCTTACTTCAGATATCTAATTACACATGTAAAAAAAGTTACATTTTTAGTCACACTTATCTATGCTGGAACCCAAGTTAAAGAGTCGGATCCTATCACTCCTTGTAGATTATTATTACTCATACAACCCGATCGCCGTGCTCGTCTTTCTATCTAAGATTTTAGAAGACCAGTGGCAGAGCGCGGGGCTTTTCTACTGCACGGAAAGGCCCCCCCCCGCAAACACTCAAACCACCTAAATTTACACACATTGAGAAGAACTTCCCGAAGTTCTTTTTAAATAACTGGATATGAACAATTAACCAGTGGAACAACCTGCCTCCAGAAGCGGTGAATGCTCCAACACTGGAAGTTTTTAAGAAGAGACTGGACAGTCATTTGTCCAAAATGGTATAGGGCAGGGGTAGGCAACCTCGGCTCTTTTATGACTCATGGACTTCAACTCCCAGAATTCCTGAGTCAGCATAGCTGACTCAGGAATTCTGGGAGTTGAAGTCCATGAGTCATAAAAGAGCCGAGGTTGCCTACCCCTGCATAGGGTTTCCTGCCTGAGCAGGGGGTTGGACTAGATGACCTTCAAGGTCCCTTCCAACTTTACTATTATTAGTAGTAGTAATAATCTTCTCTATTACATTCAATCACTTTGGCGGAACAACGAATGCCATTATAACAAAAGAATAAATAATAAAAGAAACAATAAAAGAAAATCACCCGGAGGTATCAGGCTTTACAGCAGGGACTAAAGACTCGCTCTTTACACCTCAGCTTCTAAACCTAGGAGGAGACGTTCAACTCTTCTCCGCTGACCTCTATTTAGAATAGAAGCGTATCCCAAACGCCGCCCATAGGACCAATTTGGACCAATAGCGATGTCCTGCACATATAAGGGGCCGCCCACTTACCCCGGCAAAGAGACCACTAGGAGGCAGCGCTCGTTTGTATCATTCGCGGAGGCGCGTTTGCCGAAGGAAGCTGAGCTGATGGCTACGGTGAAAGAGAAGGCGGCAGCTTTGAATCTCTGCGCCGTGTACAGCCCCGCCAACAGACCCCCAGGTAACGCTGGATTCCCGGGGTATATTCCAGAGGGAGGGAGGGCAGGGGAGCAGAGCCTTCGGTTTTTTTTTTTTTACAGAGAAGGGGAAGCCGCTGGCCAGAGTGTCATGATGGGGAGAAAGGAAGGAAAGGAAGGAAACTCGACCGGTCGGGACGGATTCTTTAAAGCTAAGGTGCCTGGTGGTGCTTCAGGGAAGGAAGGAATTCCCTTGTTTTGCTCCCGCGCTTCGTGGCAAATCAGGACGGGAGAGAACTTCCCGTCGGATTTGGGTGCTAGTACGCTTCTCTGCCCTGCTGCTCTGAAGAGATGGGTCCCCTCTGTCCCGGTGGTGTGGCTCCCGGTCGTCCCCCCCCCCCCACATGCGCCCTTCGGGCTCTCGCACCCGAACTAGTCGTGGGCAAGGACCCGGTTGTTTGTTGCCCTGGTGCCCTTCCTTGCGCAGTTTCTTTCCGCCCCTCTTGTCTGACGGGGAGAAAGGACTGGCCGGTCCTCTGTCTACTCCGGGTGGATTGTGTGTGTGTGTGTGTGTGGGGAATGGATTGTGGGAGAAGGGCTCGCCGCTTCTCCATCCCCTCCGCTGCTTCGGGCGAGGTGGTAGTAAGCAACGCGCAGCGCTTGTCCCGGCTGGGGAGGATGTGTGACTACGCGGACTCCCTCTAACCTACTTCCCAACCCTGCTATCTTTGTGCAGGTTTTCCTTTATTGCCTTGGTTTCACAGCTTCTCTCCGCCCGTCTTAATTCCAGGAGGAAAGGCCGTTTTGTAAGCAGAGATTAGCCGGGACTTCCTGCCCACCTTCTGCCTTAAGAGAAGGGGCTCCGGGCTTGTCAGTTTCTCCCTTTCTCAGGAAAAGTTAAGAACCGGTTGCTAGGGGTGTTACTGTACTGCCTCTTTATAAAAGGCATCAATAATGGTTTGTTAAGCTTGAAAAGCTCTATCTTTGTCTTAGGACCTTTGGGGAAGATTTAGGAGATTTAGGAGATGAAGTATTTTCTTCCCACTTTGGGGACAAGCAAACTAGGAATCTCTCCTGGCTGAAATGTGGTTAACCAATATAAATAGGTTATACACCAAGAATAAATTTTGCAACAGTGCCTCATTTCCTTCTGTATTCTTTCCGATTCCCTCAGAACAGGTTTTGCAATCTGTCTTTCGAGGCTTATCTCCCTGTTCCCTCTTTTTGTGGCAGTCCAGGGTTAAATTTTGAACAATTGGCAAACCAAGACACATGCACACAAAAACTAGCTCCATTTGTTTAAACAGAATGCCTCTAGGTATATTACTGTGATTGACCTGATAAGAGTATTTTTGAAAGGTGCTATTTAGGGGTTTCAAGGTGAGGTTTCAGGCCTCCCCAGGGCCACTTTGGCACTCCAGGCAAAGTCATATTCTGCTGCCCCCCCCATGGTCTGACTCACCTTCCAGTGTTGTTATAAACTGCAGAAATGCATCCTCTCATTTCTTTTTTTCCCCCTTCAATTTTTTAGCCTTATAGTCATGATTTTTATCCCTGGACAATTTTTTTCTTGGACATTTTCACCCATTTTGCATAGAAATTTTAATTAAGTCAGCATCCATTGTTGTCATATGACTTTCACTTTTTCACATATTGTGTTTTTCAGAAGTCTTTTCAATGTGGTAACCTTGGGGCCCTGTCTGCTTGGCCTTAGTCTAGAGCAGGGGTAGTCAACTTGGCTCTTTTATGACTCGTGGACTTCAACTCCCAGAATTCCTGAGCCAGCTGTGCTGGCTCAGGAATTCTGGGAGTTGAAGTCCACGAGTCATAAAAAGAGCCAAGGTTGACTACCCCTGGTCTAGAGAGCCAGCCCTGCTCCTAATTGTCAATGTGTCAAATGAATAGAATATTTCTTAGACACACTTACAGTCATAGCCTAATTATTACAAACTGACAGTTTCTATTAACAACTGAATAGATGTGTCCACTTACGCATCTCAGAGGAATTTGTTTTAATGTGGGTGATAATTATAAGTTACAAATAATAATTGTAATAAACATTTTGGGGAAAAAATGTTACAATTTTAATTTTAAAAAGAACCTGTTGTGTTTTTTGTTTCCAAAGGTCTTAAATCAAAACAGCATCGCTATATGGCACTGAGTTATCTGTTATATCCTTATGCACTGCCTTTTATTCAATTTTCCCACAATACAACAGTCTTTTTGCATACTTTTTAACAAAAGAAACAGCAATGACAATATATACCGTGTTTCCCCGAAAGTAAACCTGCCCCCGAAAGTAAGCCCCAGCTGATTTTCGGGGGGTGGGCCTAATGTAAGTCCTCCCCCTGAAAGTAAACCCTACTTAATGGCCTGCACAGATGGCCTGCCACCGATTCTGTCTGGTTTCACCATAGACACAAGGGGGGAACTGCCAGTGCCTTTGTGATGAGGTGAAGCCAATGGGAGAGGGGGGATCTGACCCACGGTACTGGTATACCAGTTCCTTACCACTGCCCGGCTTGTTCTGCAGCCTCATGGCAGCAGCATTGGGCACAACGCCCGAGGCGGCAAATGGCCGGTTTCGTTGCAACGAGGCTGTTTGCTGTCGGCCACGGCCATTTGCCACCTCGCGCATCATGCCTAATGCCACTGCCATGAGGCCTCGCGGATCCTCTCCCCTTCTGACCCACGTGCCATTATACCGGTTCCTTACCGCCGCCCGTCTTGTTCCGCGGCCTCATGGCAGCGGCATTGGGCAGGAGGCGGCAAACGGCCAGTTTCGATGCGATGTGGCTGTTTGCTGCCATCTGCAGCCATTTCCCATCTCGCGTGTAGCACCCAATGCTGCTGCCAGGCCTACCGTATGTTAACTCTAACCCCCACTGCCCCCCAACCATAATGGGAGAAGGGAAGCCTGGTGGGAAAAATGGAAAAACTTTGGTGGGGAAAAAAAGGTTTTTCCTATTTGTTTCCAAACCAGTTTGGAAACAAATGGGAAAAACCATTTTTTTCCCCACCAAAGTTTTTCCATTTTTTCCCCCAGGGCTTTGAAGTGTAGTGTAGCAACCTCTACACTTGTGAAGCTGAAGTGTAACAACCTCTAAAGGGTGGCAGATTTCTCATTGCTGAAGCAGTAGAGAATTGTCTTTTCCCTATCCAGCTATAAGGTACTCTCTTTTTTTTAATTGGCCATTGTGGGCTTTGAATATAAAGTCTTTTACAACAATATCATACACTTTACAATTAAATTGGTCTACCTTCTGATGAACTTTTTCAAAGCATTTGCACTTTTTACTTTTTATCAACCAAATATAGTAATGGCATCTAGTTGGCTAAAAGTAAATGGCATAATTCCTGAGAAAGGGGGAATACTGTATATTCAATGCCTTTGCCAGCCTGTTGCCTACTAGAAGTGTTGGACTATAACTTTGTGCTGGAATTTTTAAAAGGAGAGAGGAATATTACTAGAATCCAGTGCTGTCCAGTCGAATGAGAGTACAAAAAATTTAGCTGGCAGTTGCACGTAAATCACCAGCATCTTTTTCTTTTCTTTTCTTTTCTTTTCTTTTTTTCCTTTTGGTAGCCTGCACAACCTACATGTCATTAGGAGATTTGAAGAGCCAAATTTACCATATTTTTCCGTGTATAAGACGCTATTTTTTCCTGCAAACACCCTGTTCAAAAATCAGCTGCGTCTTATACAAGTGCAGCGTCTTATACACAGAAAAATAATGGTAAACTTCGCAGCCCAGGGCATGCCTGTGTGGGTTACCTGTGTGGTGCAGGTATTAAGCCCCTGTGGCTTTCCACTAACGGGAAAGGGGAGGGGGCAAGATCGTCGGCCGGCTGAACTTCGGATTTGCTGGTTCAGCTGTTCAGCGCTCCGCCGAATAGCTGATTGGCGCGGAGAAACTCGCATGCCAGAACGTTTTATACAAGGGTGCGTCTTATAGATGGAAAAACACGGTAGTTCGTGATAAGTGCATCAGGTATTAATTTCATGTCTTAAAACACGTAAGCCACCTCCTCAGAATAGTCCATAGTCCAGCCCACTTCTGCAGTATGGGCTTTAGTACACCAAGCAAAATCTCCTGTGTTCCAATGGCACTAAAGGAAGTTGATTTTAACTAATGCCACCTCAAGTGAGAGAGAAAAGCTTCAGAAGTAAATGAATAATTTATTTGGTAATCCCCATTTGGAAAGGATTCTTTAAAATAAGGAGTGCATTTATTATACTTTTGAGAAAGAAAATGCTTCCGCTAATGCATCTTCTGTATTACTTTGTAAGGCTTCAGCTTGGCACAGAGACCCTTTGGAGCCACTTACGTTTGGAGCAGCATTATCCACACACTTCAGACCCACGTTGAAGTGAAAAAACGACGTCAGAATCTGAAATGTTATCATGACTGTTTTATTGGCTCCGACGCAGTGGATGTTGTCTACGCCCATCTTCTCCAAAACAAATATTTTGGTGACACAGATATTAATCGGAGTAAAGTTGTACGAGTATGCCAGGCATTGATGGACTACAAGGTGTTTGAGGCTATTTCAACCAAAGTCTTTGGAAAAGATAAACGATCTGTGTTTGAAGATAGCAGCTGCAGCCTGTACAGATTCTCAAATACAGGGAATCGAGTGGAGAGCCTTTGTGGAAGACAGCATGGCCATTTTATACAGCAAAGGTCTGTGTGAGAATGCTCAAGGTGAAATATGAAAAATTAGAGAGGATGTTACATTGTTTTTTTCTGATTGGCTGCATCTTCCTAACTTCTGTGCCCTCCTAGTGGTATGATAGTACAAATATCATAGCAAAGTGAGCATGGATATGTTAGAATTAAAAGAGCTGTTTTGTAGAACATCTAGAGCTGGGATAGGCAACTATGGCTCCTTTACAACCTGTGGACTTCAACTCCCAGAATTCCTGGGCCAGCCACAGGTCCTAAACGGGCCATAGCTGCCCACCCCTGATCTAGAGAATCTTAGAGGGGGAGATTCATATATTGTATATATGTATAATGTATATTAATATAGATTAATATAATGTATATTAAAGAATTGCATCTTGTTATGTGCCTAGAAGTAACAATCTGAAGTGTTTCTAGGATGTGTGTTTCATAGTGGAGAGGCCGCCCAAAAAAGACCATAGCTTTGGGTGCCACTAATCTGACTTCAGAAAGGAGAGACATCCAGAAAAGGGTTTCCCAGGAATCTCTTTGGCTGACTATAGTGGCATTAAACATTAATACCATAACCATAAAGCTACCTGACTTAGCAAAGTAAACCAAGATTGCAATTTGATATTAGCAAGCTAATTTATGAGCATTGGAAGATGGTACTGGATTTGGATCTTATATCATTAAGTCCATTACAACCACTAAGTAGCTTTAGTCAAATTGCTGTTTTAACTTCAGCTGTATATTGAAAATAACTACTTAAGTGAGAGACACAAAGCTTAAAAGTGAGGAAGCTTGCAAGCTATTTTGCATAACATAGATGTTGGCAATAATTATCGAATCTATTAACAATTTATTCTTGGAAAATGAATTTGTTGGTGATAGGAATGACCACTATGGATAATGAACCATAAGAGAGCCAGTTTGGTCTAGTCAGTGGTTAAGATACCAGGCTTGACTTATTTGTAAAAATAATAAAGGTGGGATACAAATAAATACATGCACATACATAGAATTGTTTGTTTAGTAGAAGTAGCCATGTGGTAATCTAACGTAAGGTGGATTGATTATAAAGAGCCAGTTTGGTGTTGTAGTTAAGGAGGCCAAGAGTTCTAATTCCACCTTAGGCACAAATTCAGATGCCTGACTTCAGGCTAGTCAACCTTTTCTGTCAACCTTAGAAAAGAGGCAGCGGAAAACCACTTCTGAAAAGCCTTGCTAAGAAAACTGCAGGGACATATCTAGGCATCTCCAAGAATTGGACATGATTGAATGGAATTTTAAAAATGCAACCATACACAAAAATGTATGTATCCATTGGAGTTATAGTACAGAGGTTCAGTGTATAGAAACAAGGTCTAAATATTGTTATCAGTACTGATACTTGGATCTTCCATTCCTATTTTTTTTAACTACAGACAGGACAAAAGATTATTACTTGGTACATCATCAGAGAGATCAGAAAGTTTGGAGGATCTCTTAGAAAACCTGAGTCTAAAACCTGTTAATTCTCCTCAAGTAAATCCATCCGCCCATTTGTCTCATCAAGGTAAGGGGGATCGACATCAAACTGTCTCAGGGAAAGCTTTTCTGTTTCTTAAATTGGAGACAAATAGAAAATTAATCTCTCTTCCACCATGTCCGCTATAAAATGCAGAGCTCCAAGCAAAAGAACATGTTGTGTGGGGTATTTGCTTGAATTCATCACAGCTGCTAATTTTCTCACAAGCCTGACAACTCAGACATCTCTCCTGTGATATGGCCTCGCATCATGGTTATCTCAGATAGTACGAATCTATAACACATTAGAAAAAAAAAACAGGTGATGCCTGAGAATAATGACAGCCTAGATCACTAGTGAACAACCTGCAACTCTTGATGTAATCTGGAAATAATTCAGAGGGTGCATAAAACAGTATGTTCATGCTAGCGCTGGGAAAGGGAGAGGGATTTCTCAGTTTGTAGTCTCAGCTCCTCAACAAAACCAAAGATTTCCACTCATGCTAAAGACACTCATGTCTCCTCTTCCTGCACTTGCTACTGCTTCCCCTTTTTCAGTTTTTTTTAAACTAGAGACAGAAGTTTTTGAAGGAACAAGGAATTTACGACTGCAGCCTTGTCTCCTACTTTGTGCCTGACTTGTGGCTCAGTTATCAAACCACTTAAAAGACCAGAAGTACAAATAGTCCATTCTTCTCAAGCCATAGCTGGTTTAAACAAGAGATTGTAACATAGGGCTGCCATGTTCTTTCAATCTGCTTCTTGGACAAGAACAAAATCTGATACTAACTTAGTAGCTAGTTCTATCGTTTTTTTGTGTCTGGCTTTACAGATTGCTCCGAAAAAATGTAGAAAACCCCAAACAAGTTCTTTGTTTAGTACTTCAAGTTAAGGGTATCATTGTTCTAGCTGGAAAAATGCTAACAAGGGTTTCTTTCTTTTATGCATCCTAATTAACATGATTTACGTGATTGGTTTTCCCATCTAGTAAAGATCTCTGGCAATTCAAACAGAAAAAGAATGTAAAGCATTTTGGATACATCGAAGTCCTTACTGTTTGCTGCATAAATCTCTATTGGTTATCTTCTTTTTTTTATTCTGACATATTCTTGTGGCTGACAGTAAAACAGAAATAAATTATTGTAATGTTTTCTGCAGAAGAAGAGTTAGTCACCTCAAGCAAAGACTGCAATGTTGGGTTACATTTCTTGATCATTATGTTTGTCAACAATCTCACTGTTTGGTTTGTGCCCTTCATTTTTCCTAGTCATTAATGAAGTCTGGGGAGAGCAAACGATTGCCCGTCTCCTGCAGCTAATAGATCTTCCATTGCTTGATTCTTTACTTGAATACCACAAGATTGGATCCCGGTTTCCACAAACAAAGCAGGAACCTGAACATAGCATCACAAACAATTATCTCGACCGAGAAATTCTGAAAGCTTTTGGTGATGCTCAGTAAGTATTTATATATGTAACTGTATGAATAGGAAGGCAAAAAACTGATTTATCAGCAAATTTTATTTGCCTTCCTAAATAAATAATATATTTTTTTCAAACAGCGAAGGACTATAGAGTAGACATAGGCAACCTTTTATGATTTGAGGCCACATTTTTAATTTTGGAGCGTTTCAGAAGGGCATAAGGGATATTCCTGGCCTTTTATGGCCTCTGAGGGAAATGGAACTAAATAAGGGCCTTAAGAGAATTACAGTTCTCCCCTTTAGAAAATCCACCAATATGAAAAATCTACTGATTTTTGTTTATGAGTGATGAAAACATTAGAGTCCAGGCACCCATTTTGTCCTTTAAGTCTCCCTGCCAGTTCAGAAAGCTGAACATGTTGGCCTCTCTGTCCTGCCCCCACCTATTGCAGAGGTCTTGTGGGCCATATTTGGGGTACAAGTTGCTCACTCCTGATTTTTGGGATGGGTTCTCCTCCTCCTCTGTGCCCAAATGTGCCATGCTCAGTGGCTGCTTTATCTTCTCTTAAGCAGAGTTCCTTTCATCATTGTTCCTTTGGCCCTAATATGTTCTCTCAACTTCCAGTGGGACTTATTCACAACAAAATGTTATCTGCTGTAGAGCCAGTACCATAGTCAGTAGAACGTTATAGGAATTTTCTTTTTCTAGGGCAGATGAATGGCTTTCAGCAGCAATTGACTGTTTGGAGTATCTCCCAGATGCGATGGTGGTTGAAGTAAGCCGCAGTTTACCTGATCGGCCCGACAAAGTGCACGTGGGGAAACTGTTGTTGTTTGACACTATTGGGAAGTATTACAGCCAGAAAAAGCAACCATTGCTAAACCAGGTGCCTGAAATCCACCTGGGAATTGCTGAGTTGCTAGGTAAGTGAATGGATTTAACACATGTTGTAAAAACCAAAGTGCTTTGCCATGCAAATTTGTCATGCATTCCCCCTCCTCCTATTATGCAAGATTGCCCTGTGTTGGTGAAATGGGACCACCCAGAGAAGAGCAAGTATCCATGGGACCTCCAGGCATACTGCTTCGATTTTGAAAAGAGGGTAATGCACAAAGGTTTACATATAAAGACAATGGGGAGTTCTAAATACAGGTTGTTACTTTTTTTTAATAGCCTAAGATGTGATAGAAGTGAAGATGACAGCCAGTTTGGTCTAGTGGGCAAGGCACCAGGCTAGAACCCAGGAAGCTGTTAGGTCTAATCTCACTTTAGGCATGAGAACTGGCTGGGTGATCTTGGGCCGGTCATTCCATCTCAGCCCAACTTACCACACAGAGTTGTTGTTGTGGGCAAAACAGGAGCAGGAAGGAGTATTAAATATGCTCGCTACCTCGAGTTACAAATGAAAAATAAGGTGGGATAAAAGGTCAGATGTGCGTTTAAACTATCTATATTCAGTTTCAACAAATCAATTCTATCTTGCTTCATATTCACATATTGTATTAAACCTTGCTTTGTTTTACCATAGTTTTTTAAAGTAAAATATAGCGGCCATATTACATAACGTGCTAAGGCCTAATCTATGATTTAGAAACCCCAGTGCCAGACTTTACAGTTAAGCCAAAATCAAGCAACAATGATGAATTATCACAGTGTGAAATCTACTCTATATGAAGGCTAGTGATAAGTAGTGAAAATGAACTATCTGCCAATTTTTCCAATGTGCAGCATTACAGGATACATTCTCCTACTGATGCGGTGATGTAACCCATATATCTATGGAGATTCTCAATCATACAGGTCATGGTTGTCCCAAACGTGCTTTTTAAAAGACAACTGGACTTTCTTGTTTTTTTTCTTTGAAGACGTTTTGCTTCTTATCCGAGAAGCTTCTTCAGTTAATAGTGAAAAGCACCTTTGGGATGTAAATCCTTAAAGCTTTACCTATATCTCTGTAGAGCCCTGTATAACATGCAGAAGATCGGTGACATTTATATATACAGTGCTCAGGTAATCCCCGACTTACAGCCATTCGTTTAGCAATTGTTTGAAGGAAGTGACTTACAATGGATCCTCGTACTTAACGACTGTCTCGGCATCCCCACAGTTACGTGATCAAAATTTGAGCTCTTGGCAACCGGCATGTATTTGCAATGGCTGCAGGGTCCTGGGGTCACGTGATCTACATTTGTGACTTTTACAACTGGCTTTTGACAAGCAAAATCAATGGGGAAGAAGGATTTGCTGAACGATCATCTTAACACTTCTTCATTTAACAACTGCAGTAGAATCGGGTGCAATTCACTTAACAACCGCCTTGCTTAGCAACAGAAATTGAAGTTGAGGGATTACCCTATAAAAGCAACCATCTCCAAGTCAGACGTTTGAATGCCATGACACCACTATAATCCTAACTAAAGCTTTCTTTATGCCTGCAGGTCATGTGTTTGCATGTAATACTTAATCATGCCTTTTATGTATATATGTATTAATTAATACAATTAATTTCTAAAGCGAAGCAGACCATAGTCAATAAGTGGATAGCCAACGTACTCCTCATAAGGGGAAACTTCCATAATGAACATTGGAAATCTATAACAATATGATAGGGATTTACCAGCAGATTCATTCTGCCAGTGTATCCTACTGGCAGTAGTAGTGTTATTATTTATAGCTAACAAATAACTAGGATTCTAATTAAATCAAGAAGCTGTGAGGTTTGATAAAGGCACAATTTTCTGAAATATTTATGATCTTATTAAGCATATTTTAGTAAGAAATTTGAAGTAGGTTCTGGTGCAGACCATGAAAAAAATTGAATATTGATTTAATCAATCTGATCTAAATTTATATTTCACATTCTTTTATAGTTTAAAATAAGAGGGAAATGGCAAACCGTGCATATGTTCGTCAATCAGTATTTAAATAAAAATGCAATGTAACAATTTGGTTTGGTTTTCCTTCCAGTTAATGGAAAAACTGATCAGGCTTTGGAAACCATTCAGCTCTATTTAAAATTATTGGATAGCCCTGCGAGAGAGGAATTCAGGAAACTGCTTTATTTTATGGCTGTGGTAGCTCAGAATTCTGAACTTAAGCTGCAAAGCGAGGCAAGTACTTTATGAAGCCTCTTCATACTTTTGGGTGACATGGGAATGTGGGTAGAGAACTTGTAGACCTTCAGATATGCTAAACTACAACTCCCAACAACCCAATTTACAGCAATCAATACAGTAGTTCAGGAACATCAGGAAGCTTCAGGTTCCTGAATTTTGTGTTAGACAGTGGATGTTTCCAGTGTCAATGATTAGTTGCTGAAATCAAAGATTACAGTGGTATCTCGGTACACATCGTTAATTAGTTCTGGGAGGTGCAAGGAGTACTAAAAAGAATGAGTCCCAAAGCATGTGACTTATCATGTGACCCTTTGTTTCGGCCAGGAATAACTTTCTGTCTGTCCCTTTTCCTATGTCAGCGACCTTCCCAGCATGGCTAACTTCCTGTCCGCCCTCTATGAGTGCCCCCTCCTTTTGTAGCGACCTACCCAGCACAGCCGGCTTCCTGTCTGTTCTCTGCAGCCACCCCCTCTTCCTATCACAGTATGTCGAGTACTAAACAAATGTTGAGTACTGGGGCAACATTTTCATGTCTAAATGCGTTGAATACCAAATCAGCAAGTTCTGAAGCAGTCAAGTACCGAGGTACCACTATATATAGGAAAAGACCACAATTATGAGCTGCCCAGAGTTGTTGACAGTTGGGCAGCATCCAAATTTATTAAATAAGTAAACTTTATATGGCAGCAGCATTCCTCCTGAGAAGAGGAGCACTGAAGTGAGAAGGTGACCTCAGCCTGGCTTTCTACACCATAATTATGAATTTCTAATATTGCCCTAGAAAAGATCACAATAACCTGGTTGACATAGCTTAGCACTGGAAGGGAGACTATGGGAAGAATGCAAAGTACGTGTGCATATAGGTTGCTCTGAAATAAATCAACCTCATTTGCCTAATGTTTAAAATTGTTTGCATTTGTATAACTATTGTTGACTGCCCTTTTACAAGATGATCAATTAACTGAGACTTAAAGGGCCATGCATTTGAAAACTGAGAATACATGCTATAATTATAGCTATAGGAAAAGAGGTGGATCTAGCAGTATAAACTTTTAATCCTTCTGCTCTCCCCTCCCCCCCCCACCGCCCTGGTTTATAGAGTGAAAACAGGATGGTTGTGAAAAGAATGTTCTCCAGAGCCATAATCAACAATAAAACATTATCTAAAGGAAAAACGGATCTTTTGATTTTATTTCTAGTGGATTATCAGAAAGATGTTTTAAAGGTAGGTATCCCCAAGTCATTTTCTCCACACTAGTATGTGTAGTCTATTCCATTCTTAATAACTTATTTTATTTTGTTCAAGATTCCAGGGACGCTACATAAAATGGTCAGCGATAAGCTTCTGGCTATACAGAGAGGCACAGAATCCAGTCTGAATATTGGTAAACTTTATTTTCATAAGCTTTAGTCATGTTAATAATAAACTTTAGCATGAGCTGCTCTGGGCATAGTCCATTATGAAAACGAAGCTGCTAAATAAGTCAGTCTAGAAAAATCTGCTCTTTGGCAGGAAGAGTGACATTAAAAGTAAATAAATTTATCAAGATGGGCTATGCAAAATTTTACATCATGCTTTCAACCTATTCAGAAAAAGTACTGGATATCTCAGTGCTTACCATTTTCTAATACTAAACATCCTAAACTTCATGGAAAGAGAGTTGGGATTAGTTGGGCAACTTGACCCCTTTGAGTCTAAAGTGCATTTAAGCAAGACAGATCCTCCACCTTTATCCAAAAAATTAAAAAAGTCCAGGATCACTCTGTGAATTGTAAATAAGGGAATATTGTGCAAACATTTAAGAAAACCATTATAAATACCTCAAATTTCTATGATATTTTTTAATAATGAATTTTATTCTTGTTCCAGGATATACTTTTTGCCAGAGGCTTGATGAATGTGAGTATCATTTCAGTGCCAAAAAAACTACAAAAGCGGAACTGGTGTCTTTACTAAAAACTATTGATGAAGACTCCAGTCTCTCTTCCAAAGAACGCAAGAAATTACTAGATCAATTCTATACTAGTAATCCAACTATCTTTTTGCAGTATTTTGGTGAGGGAGATGTTCCTGATGATGGTATATAATTGTAGACCTGACGTCTAAAAATCTGTACTGTGTATCTTTATCAAATTGTTTTATATTGTACTTAAAAGTGTTCTGTAAATAGAGGTGTAAATCCACCTGTAAAACTGCTATTTAAAAACAATAAAACCTATTGATTCAAATTCTAAATAGTGAGGAAACAGTATTTATCCTAAATTCCTAGGAAATACATCATGAAAAGCTGAAAGCAAGTATCTCTTGACTTCCTTTGTGAACACAAGTCCTTTGAACAGAATGCAGTTCAGAGTAAAGAAATATAATTGAATTCCTGATGTTTTTAGTTGTAGTGTATGTTACAGTCACACAACATCTGGCCATGTGTTTCGCTTTTCTGGCAGTCTATCCAACTTATGGTCATCTAGTATATTCCAGTAGCAAGCTGAAGTACAATTGGTGCCCATGGCAGAAATGGTCAGGTGAATGGTTAACCAGTACCACAACACACCAGCTCAAAATAAGCAGTCATTCCTTGTATTTGAAAGCCAAATGACTGAAAAAAAGTCATCTATAACACATTAAAACAACCTTTGTAACTTTTTTTTGTTTATAACCTTGAAACTGCAGATGAAAGTCTGGAATTAACACCATAAACATTTTTTAAACATGATCCTGAGCTATGTAATACATAGAACAAATCTATAGCAGAAATCTGCTGTACTGTGGCAAACAAGCCTCTAGATTCTTTCTCTAATTAAAGAGTAGTTGTAAATCACCCTTGGTGCTACACAACTAGTTCTGCCCTTATATGGAGAAAATAATTGTATCAGTGTGGGAAGTTTAGTGTTGAATAAAAGGAAGTTAAGGCAAGTGCAAGTAAAAGTTTCCAATATATCCTGTGAAAGTTGCTCCATTCCAGGAAACGTCTATGCTCAAATCTCTTTATATACTGTAGAAATGTTGATTAACTCATAATATTTCATAATATAATGCCTTTAAATACTTAAATACAAATACTTATTCAGTAGCAATTGACATAAAAATACTTAACCCACTGGCCTCCTGTATTAAATCAGATTTTAATTTGGAAATACTTGTCTCTTTTTTGAGTTCTCATTAGCTTCAGTGTACTACATTATGTTATCTCTGGCAGGATATATCTGTTTTGAAATAATGCTAAGGGCTGGTATTCAGCATTATAGGTTTAGAAGATTGCTTTCAAATATTTTGTAGGAAGGAAGAAATTTGAAACTCAGTAGAGTGGTAAAAATAAGCAATCGAGATCTGTATTTTGTTCTTTTTCTACTTTTGGATGAGGAAATCACAGATTTATATTCTAGTTGAATCCTTTGCTGGTTTCAGTTGTGTTTTGGATATTTGTATACCATACTGAAAGTATATGCCAATTACTCCAAAGCATCTCCTTCAGGAAGAAAATTGGCAGGTTTATTTGTTCATAGTAGTATATTAAAATGAGAGAACTACAGGCAGGTGTTCCTTGCCTAAAATATACAAACACCTGCTTCCAAAAAGAATATGAAATGTTAATAACTACTTGAACTGGGCGGTGATCTGGATTCAAAAGGAAATATGTGATTTGTAGTATAACATCTTGCACCTGTTGCCATAACCTTAAAACTGTATTTTCCTGGTCTCCTTCTTCAATCTCAAGAAAAGACAGCCTTTCTAAAGAGTTGCCAGAAATGTTAAATGAAGTATGAGAAACAATTGGGTTACTACATTTTCTCCTGGATATCAATATTTCAAACCCAAATTCATCATCACTAAAAGGCTTATAAGAATATTAAACCATTGAAAATTATTATGCCATTTTTTTCTCACCCAGTTACAATCATTGCAACATACCTGGTACCTTTCTATTCATAAAGGTGTAGCTTTGACTTAGGGCATAAATGTTGTCCATTATGTTGTCTTTATGGGCAGGCAAACCATCAACAGGGGTTGATAAGAGTACAGGCATTCCCCGCCTTTTATTTTGAGTGGCCTCCAGGTCATTGCTGCCAAGAGAAACAAAATAACAGGAATACATAGTTGGAAGGGACCTTGGAGGTCTTCTAGTCTAACACCCTGCTCAAGCAGAAAACCCCATACCATTTCAGACAAATGGTTAACCAATCTCTTCTTAAAAATGGAGCACCCCCTGACAACTTGTTCCATTGTTTAATTGTTCTAACTGTCAGGAAATTTCTCATTAGTTCTAGGTTGGTTCTTTCCTTGATTAGTTTCCATCCGTTGATTTTTTTCCTATCTTCAGGTGCTTTGGAGAATACATTGATCCTCTCTTTCTTGTGGCAGCCCCTCAAATATTGGAACCCTGCTATCATGCCATCCCTAGTCCTCCTTTTCATTAAACTAGACATACCCAATCCCTGCAACTGTTCTTCATAGGCATGTTAATTTTCTAACATCTATTTTAATTTTGCTACATGTCCTCAAGCCACAAGTGAGTACTGTGACTTCTAATAACAGCAACTCCACACTTTCTTTAGACTTCAAATACTTTTAAAAGACATCTCCTGATATAAACTGTTTGCCCATATGTGCTCTGTCAGTTGTGTTTGTGGTACTTTTTATACTGGCAAATAGAGTTCTCTTATGATTCTGTTGCCCAAAATATTTCTACCTCATTAAAAAAAAGTGACGCATTTCAGGTACATTTTTCTCAATAAAAAGTGTATGTTGTATCACTGAACCATAGCCATTCTGATGTGTGATGGGCAGGGCTTTTTTTGTCATAGAATGCCCAGAACGGAGTTCCGGCACCTTTTTTGGATGGAACCTTGTAGAGTAGGCAAGGCGGGTTGTATGACATGTGTGAGTTCCAGCACCTTTTTTTTTTTAAACAAAAAATGCACTGGTGATGGGTGATATGATCTTGCCTTGAACTGTGAGATGAATGGCTTATAAATTTAACAGTAATAAGGCATATATGGATTGTAGCATCATGAAAATGCCATGCAGTGGTCAATCTGAGGAAAGTTTATGTTGGCATAAATGAACAATCAAGGAATATTAGGTTCATGTATTTCTCCTTCCCTTATATGTAAGCATTTACTGTTTGAGATGGCCCACAATCAGCAATTTTCATTGAAACAGCACAAGAAGGAAGGCAGTGTGATAGACAAAGGAAGGACTATGTGATTCTATAGGATATGTCAAGAATCAGAGTTTCTCATCAAAGGCTATTAGACTTGTGTTGTCAGGCACAATGGCACTGTTAGAAGAGAGATACTTTGCCTTCCTTCCTTTGCCTCAATCATAATCAGTAAAACATTCTGCTCCAAAACTATTTTACACTTTGCTATCAATAATGTAAAAGTACATACCTTCCGTATTGCATTTCCAAATGGAAGATATGTTATTTATTCTTGGCAGCAAGGTATGGGAGTTGAATGTTTAATGCTATTAACTTAAAAATGCCATAGTGATAAAAAATATAACACTACAAAAGGAAAAATGCAATTATATCACTGTATCTTAGCTGCATTGTATTACGCACATGGAGTAGTATAGCAGGTTTGAGCTTGAATATCTTATTCCCCGAATGTTAACTCTTAGATAATAGCTATAAATAAGAAAGCTAGGGAAACGTTTCCTCTTTCTCCTGATTAGAACCATGGGGAGCGCCACTGCAGGCCTACAGCACCACTGCAACTGTTCAGATGTAGCCATCAAAGCAATAGCCCAATGATATTGCCTACTACAGTGATGGTGAACCTTTTAGAGACCGAGTGCCCAAAAGCTGGCCCCGCCCCCGCTCCATCCCCTACCCCGTCCCCCATCCTCCGCCCCGCCTGCCCGCAGGGCCACTCACTGCCTCCAGGGCCCGCCGCAGATCGCCCAGGCAGCCCAGCAGCGCTATGGCGGTCATGCCCTCTGCCTGCGCCCTGCAGCATCAACTGTGCACAATGGGGTGTGAGGGCAGAGTCTTGTCTACGCTGCCTGGCTGCCATGTCCTTGGCTGAGCTGCTCCGCGTGGGCCACACTCAGGGGCGACTCTCCTTCAGGGGGGCTGCTGGAGAGGAGGGGGTCACGGGGGGAGGCATGGCTGGGGCAACAGCACGTGTGCCCACAGAGAGGGCTCCGAGTGCCGCCTCTGGCACCCGTGCCATAGGTTCGCCACCACTGGCCTACTATGTTACCTACATTACTGCACCTAATTCTTGCTAAGTGCAGAGGATGGACTGAGTCTTAAGAGTGTACAGTTCTTGCTAGCAGTTTTTCCACAGAAGATTCTAAAAAAAAAACCCCATAGGTTTTCTCCATTGGAATTTAATAGAAAGGTAAATGGTGATGACCTCATCAGTGTGGATGGGCCAGCCACTGTTTAAGGGGGACAAAAATGGTATTTTTCTAATAGTTATTTCCTCATTGCTAATCCCTATTTCGTTATTTTATTGTTTCAACTTGCGCGTGTGTTTTTTTTTTTACTTATTTAACCTATTCTGTATGCATTTTATTAAAAAAAAAGGTCTCTGATCATGAATAAATAAATATCTTTCTACCAGTATGTTTGGGATGTGTAATTCTCTTCCATGAAACATTAGAAATTGAGAGTGATTAACCCAAAACCAAGCAGTAAACTTCCTCATTAATGAAGTTTCATTCACTGGCCCCTTCTAAGAATTCTTGCCCTATTCAGCTTGTTAAGCTCACTGGACAACCCAGTGCTGCATAATGAGAATAGCTTGCTTCCAGAAGTTGTGGGTGCTCCATCACTGGAGGTTTTTAAGAAGAGATTATACAGCCATGTGTCCAGAAAGGTATAGGGTCTCCTGCTTGGGCAGTGGGATTGAACTAGAAGATCTCCAAGGTCCCTTTTTGTTATTCTATATTCTATATAACCTCATATTAACGTTTAGTCCTATGACCTCTCTTTGGGCTTGGGAAGTTGCCTGTGGTTATAATGGCAATTTCTGAGATCTACATGGTCATGCATGGTTTTCTTCCCCCTGGTCACATGACCAAACAAGATCCGGTGATTTTGCAGCTGGTGCAATTTTCCCCCCTCCTCCTTGCTGCTGCATGGAGGACCAGGGAAGTGAAT